GCTGGCTGGGGAATTCTGGGAGTTGAAGTCCACACATCTTCAAGCTGTCAAGGTTGAGAAAACTGAGTTAGAGCAAGGGGAGAAGCACTTGGGGCCAAGGGTTCACTGGAGCTTACAGAGGTTCCTATGCATTAAGTCCTGGCTTAGTATTATATGCAAATTGGTTACTGAGTGCTCCTGCAGTTACTGAAATCAGTGATTACATCACCATTTTCTTACTGGCATCAACTCAAAAGCTCCAAGCCCCATATTACACTGTCTTTCCCATTCCCACGTAGGTCAATTTCTATTCATCAGGTAACATCCCTCCAATACTTGAAGTCAACTGCTTCCTTGGAATATTCCCCCCAAAGCTTTTGGTTGTACTTCTTCACACTACTAATCTCTGCAGTCTTAATTCCTTGTTTCTCAAGTTTATTTTTCTCTGTTTAGTCTACTCATCACAGTTGGTGTTAAATAGAACCATGCACAACTTTACATTTTTGCATGGTTGAGTGTTTGGAAAATGCAGAAGGTTAAGATCATAAACCATGATGTGATTTAACAATATGACACAGACCCACCCAACAAAAATCATAGAATTCTACCAAATACAGGCAAATTTCAGAAGTTCTTTACATTAGAATGGGTAAAAATGCTCTAACAGTTTCCTTTAACACAAAATCCAGGGAGAATGAATAAGAAGAAGGTAAAAAAAGATATTTTAAACATTACAAATCACATACTTACCTATCTAACGTGGAATTTTCATGTTCTCTTAATTTGTCAATTACAGGCTGAATTCCAAGCATGAGGAATTCATATCTAAGGTGGAGTCTGAAGTCTAGACTTTCCTGGGGAAGAGGAAAAGGAGATGGCAATCTTTCAAAATTGTTCCTGTTAGAAGGATGTTACATTTGCTTTACCATAAGATTAGGCAATTTTTTAAATGGCTGGGGGCTGCACTTCACACACACATCAGGCTCCTGAATTTATATTTTGCCATGGTGCATTCTGGTAGAGTCCAAGGGTTGCAAAAAAGGAGGATGGGTGTCCATGCAACACGTGAAATACCCTCCCTGCAACAGCAATCACAAAATATGATAGATGTGGGAAACTTCCTGGAAATTCTCGAGTTGCAGTAACAGTGGGATAAGACTAGATGGATGAAATAGTGTAAACCTCAGAATTCAGGCAGGCAAGAAAATGGAGCTTATCATGTTAGGTCTCTTCTATCAGGTATACTTTTTATTGACTCACAAACACCACCGACTTGTCAAAAATAAAGCAAGCAAGCAATATGAGAGCAGAGATATAGTTTATATCTCTTTCCTAAACAGTCTGATGGTAGCAACGATAAGTGGAAAGAGTGGAAAAATTGTGGCTTTATATTAAGGGAAAACAAACCTACTCCTCTCTTCCTACTGGTCCCCAACATCACCAGTGGTAAGAAACTATGAGAGTTATTCAACATAGCTGGAGGCACCAAGCTCTTTAGACACTAGAAGAATCATAATGCAGTGGTAGGTGGATTATGCACATAGGAGGTTCCAGATTCACAGGTAGGACTACTTTTCCGGAATCTCCCTCATTAGGAGATGTACAAATTACTCTGATATTGTGACTTTGAACATTTCTATTTGGGGGAGGGGGAGGAGGTGAGCGTTTGTTTTAAGCAGGACAGAAAGATGCATGGGAAACACAAATTACCCTTTAAGAATTGCTTTCAAGAAACCGAGTTGGGGAAAAGGCCTCTGCCAAAATACTCTGATTACCCTCTTGGATATGGAATGTGCAAGACAATTCTTCCAAGTACTTTTCACAATTCTTCTACCTTTCTCAGTTAAATTATCAAGGTGATGTAAGGTCTTCACTAATTATCATAAATCATCCCATCACCCTACGAAACTAGGACTACCTGCACTTCATCTCTGCAATATCTAAAGTTACTGTAAGTATTATGGGTGCCAGCATGATGCAAGGTATCTCAATGGGATGCTTTAGCTATCGCTTGTAGAATCCTTGCTCAAACCCACGGTAGTGACCCAATCAATGTCATGAAGCACCCATCTCTAGCTTCTGAACTTACCACTCCAGCCCCTTGGCTTAGAACAGCATTGATAAAAGACATAATGGCTGTCTTGAGGCTCACTTCATCCCGGTATCGTCCCGTACTTCTATCCAAATCATTTATTAATGTCTGCAAATTAGAAGGGTTTTGATCAATTTTGTTCATAGGATACACAGTGGCACAAAACACCAGGAGAGGAAAAAGCTTCAATGAAATTAGTCTCATTTTAATTATTTTCATATTAAACACTAAAAAGTATATTTTCTTCCCTCCTACTCTTTCTTACTCTCTCATACACATATCCATCCACCCAACAAATGAGCTGCAGGTAACTTCATATGGCTATGTAAAACCATACTGCTTCTAAGCAAATGGCCCTGTTTATCAATAAAATACAGTATCATTTGGTATCAGTTAGATTCAGGGCATAGAACTTTGATGTTGATCACTGTCAGGGATAATGCCTAAAGAGACTTAATGGCAAAAAAAGAAGTAAAGTTTAATTGTGGTTATGTAATTTAGATTTGTCTCCTATTGCTTTTGTGTACAGGAAAGCTATTTCTGGAGGGAAGATTAATTTTATACATAAGGTTCTTGGGGCTGTAAGTTAGACCTACACCACTCCTGGATGGCTAAGTCCTCCCAGGAGATGACATGTGGTTGGGTCCATTGGTGGTGAATTGATTCTTGAGAGAGGGGTGGCCCTGCCAATGCTTAAGGAGAGAGTGGACCACCCCTCCTTAAAAGGCCATCACTGGACCCAAACATGCTGGACAATTTTTGTCACCCAGGCATGGGGTCTGCAGGTTGGGTGAGCCTGTCACTGTATTTTTTTTCTTGACAGGACCATGGTTATGTTTGAGATTAATTGCCCTTGGATGTGATTGTGCCATTATTGTGGGACATAAGAAAGTGTTTGCGCTGTGGGATATTTAAGAAAAAATGTCATGATTCCATTTAAGGAGTAATTTGATGCTCCATACCTGAAAGCGAGTCCGTTCGCTGGCGTATTTTTGGTAGTGCACCATGGCCTCTAGTACCTTTTTGTGACCCCCAGGAACCAGGCACACAGCGCCCATGATTTCCAGCACCGCCACCTTGGTCTTAATGTTTTCAGTGCTCAGACTCTGAGCAATTACATTAATACTCTCTGAGTGGGCCAGGACATGGGCTCTCCCGAGAGAGTTGTTCATCAGGGCTTTGATGCACCCAATGAGAGAGGTATGGATTCGAGATTCCGCAGTCTCATAGTCCATGCTCTTCAGGAAGTTCAGAATGCATGACAAGCCATCCAGGTCAATGAATCGGGTTACAAACCTATCAGGAAAGAATTAAAGGACACAAAAGAGGAAGATCACTTGTTTAAAGTTGAAATTTAGTTTAACTTCAGAGGATTCCTAAGCACAGATTAAAATAAATCTCTCAGCGTAAGATTTCATCATCCCCTAAATAGAATGATATTCTGTTACCTTAACCCTGGGGATATTGTCAGAAAAAGAAACAAACTGGCTTCAAGACAGGCTTGACATGTTTTGAGTTCAGAAACAGAAAAATCTTTGAATATTTCACACTTCCCAAGGCTGAGTATTCAAAGGCTAAACAGCTTGATCCCTGCTAAGAGGTGCAGAAGATATGTATAAGAGAGATGATTATTCACTAGAAATTCACTATGAACCTTCACTATCTGTCTTTGGATAGGATTTGAACCCCCATTCTTTAAAACAACATTTAATGCTATATAAAGAAATATTTTAAACTTTAATAGTACTTTCTAAATTCAAG